AGTATTACTTAGAGAGAAAGGAGCTAAGGTAGAGTTACTAAAATAGACTAGGCCTAAGTATAATCTTAGTTTAGTCAGTATAATAATAACGACACTTTAATTAAATTAGACTATTAATTCGATTAGTAATATAACGATAATAAGATAACTATTATAGGTAAAGAGAGTAATATAAATCCTAACCCTACTACTAAATCTAGCTAGTATTTAATTACTACTACTAAATACTTCTACTACTATTCTTATACTATACTACTAAGTACTAGAACGTAGTACTATTAGATATTCTCTATTTAAAGATATAGTATTACTAATAATAAAAGTAGAACAAAGCTATACTATTATTAAGAGATATATTAAAGCTACTTTTAGAAATGTACTAGTAGTACTAGCCTAAAGGCAATTTCTTCTATTTAAGTAGATAGGCTATAGATACGTTAAAAATTATATACTATTTAGCTTACAAACTACTCTATTCCTATTAAATCTATTTACTAAGAGTCTATATTAGCTTTATGTCTAGTAAATGCCTACTATTACTAGTATCGATTACTATTATACTACTAATAGAAGTAATAGTAATAGTAAAATAATAAAAAGATTAGTTTATAGTATAGTAGACTCTAGTCTAGGCTCTATAAGAAAGTAGCTTCTAATTATTATAGACATTCTATAGTACCTTATTCTTAATCTAAAGGCTATAGACATTTATAATATTAACGTAGTAGTTATAATAGCTTTCGTAGGTTTCTACTAACTTAATAAAATTACCTATAAAAAGGTAGAGTACTTAGTATATCAGTTATTAAGAAACGTTACTAGAGCAATTATTATACTATTTAATAAATATATAATTCTTTAGCTTAAGTAATTAAATATAGATAAAAAAAAGACAAGCGTTAATAGATTTATAATACCTACGTATATACTACTATATACTATTAAGTATATATAAGCGTTTTTGCCTACTATCTAGTACCTCTAATAGGCTCTCTTTTTCGAAGAAAGTTAAGTAGCATCTTAGAAGTATAGTTAGTAAAGTAGCTAAAGTATTACTTATAAGAAAAGGACTATAGTAGTTAGTTACCCTTAAAGAGTACTATATAATAGGCCTTAGAAGGTAGTATAGCTAAATAAAAGCTAGTACTTCTTAGAAGGTAGTAGTGAAATACCTATAAGCTATATATTAAAACCCGAATTAGAAGCCCTCTAACCTTAGTAGTAAATAGTAGACTATAATATCTTTACTATAGCTCTAGACATATTACTAAACTCTATTATATAGTAAACTAACTTAGTATCTATAGCCTATTCTACGAGATATTTCTTCTTCTTATTTAGAATATCTCTATTATAGTAAGTAGACTTCTCTAGATATATTACCGAACTCTATTATATAGTTATTCTATACGCTACGTTTATTCTATTCTATAATATGTTCTAAGTCCTACTCTATACTATGTAAAGTATATTTTAGGGTATACTAATCCGTACGAAGTATAGGTAGTATTACGTAGTATTAACTAGCTTAGTCGTACTAATAGTAGTTCTTATTTTGCGTAAACTATTATAATCTATAAAGATAAGGAACATTTTAAAAGATATAAGATAGATACTAAGAGAGTAACTCTACTGCTAGCTAGCCTAATCGGATAAGTAGCAATTATCTAATAGTAGCTAAATATTACTAGAGCTCTAAGAAGAGCTATAAGCACTGCCTTACTAATACTTAGAGGCAACCCGACTATTAGATACCTAATAAGGCATCTAGTATCTACCTAGTACAACCTAGCTAAAGATTTACGATTAGGTTATAAGATAGAAATATTAGAAACACGTATAGAACATATCGGAAACTAGCTAGATCTTATATTACGAGCGTATAATAGAGTTTGCAAAGATATCTACAGGATATATAAAGACATTTTCTCTCTTAGGAAAAGACATAGACAAATACCTCTTTCTATATTTAGTCTACCTACCTACTCTTTACTTATCTACCTACCTATCTGCCTTCTACCTTAGCTACTAGCTAAGCTACTAGTACCTCTACTAGCTATAATATTTAGCTAGTATACTAGATCTCTATAGTATAATACTCCTTATACTATCTCTACGACTTATAGGAACTCTATAGCTAGCTACCGCACTACTATTCGGCACTCCCACGCTCTATACTACTAAAGATCTTTTAAGAATTATAATAACTATAAGTAGTACCTAGTTTATAGATAGTATAGTCTATATATAGGCTAGCTTATCTCTCTACTCTACTTTAGCTATATACGAAGTATTCTTTATTAGTACTATAGATAGTATACTACTTATATACCTAGTTACTTTACTCTAAAGTTAGCTATATATATTATATAGTAAGAGAGTCACTAATCTATACGAACTATAGGCAGTACTACGTAGTATTAGCTAGCTCTATCGTACTAATAGTACTTCTTATCTTGCCTAAATCGTATACTTTATAAGTAGTAACTAGTTTATAGATACCTAATAAGGTATCTAGTAGTAGCGTCGCCTCTAAGTATTAGTAAGGTAGTACTTCTAACTTCCCTTAGGGCTCTAGTAGTATATTTTCACTACTAAATAAGTGCTAGATACCCGATTAGGCTATCTAGCAGTAGGATTACCCTCTAGTTAGCTATATTAGACCTTTTAAACATGCCTTATGTTCTAATAGTAGATAGAGAGATAAGGTATAAGTAGTTAGAGTAGTAGTATTAAGGGGTGTTTAATTTCTCTTCTCTTAGAAAAGGGAAAGATATCTATCTACTCTATAGACATATTTATAGACTATGTTTTGCGCTTCGTAAGTGGAACTACGCTAGTTTTTTCTATGTTTTAGGCGTCTTCTATATACGTATATCTTCTAGCCTAACTATTAGAATATAAAGAATATTCTAAAGGTCTAAGATAGCTACTTAGGGGCGACCCTACTATTAGATATCTATTAAAGCATCTAGTATCTATCTAGAACAGCCTAATAAAAAGCCTATTACTAGGCGAATAGGTAGAAGTATTAGTAATACGTCTATATATATATAGAGTATACTGATCTAAATATATTAGGAAGTTTGTAGTGTTTCTAAAGCTCTTTAATACATACTAAGAGAATACTCTACTACTAGATAGCCTAATCGGGTATCTACTAATAGTAGAATAATAGTCCTAGTACTCTTAGTAGAGATAGGAGTACTGCCTAGCTAATACCCAGAGGCGACTATATAGCTAGATAACTAATAAAGTATCTATCTAGTACCTACCTGGAGCTACCTAGCTAAGTATCTATAGTTAGGTCCTAAGGTAAAAGTATAAAAGACACGCTAATAATACACCGGAGAATAGCGTAGTCTTACTATGTAAGCGTAAAATAGAGCTTACTAATATATCTAGAAATATATCTAGAGAGTATATAGAGATATCTTTCTTTTCTAAGTAGAGAAGTAGATAAGGAACTCTCTCTAACACTAGCCTATAATAGATTACTTTATAGACATAGGGATATTAGTATAATATCTAGGAATATAGTAGTATAGGTATAGTAATATATACTAGAATAATCCTAAAGAGACTAGAAGCAGGTTATATAATTTATCGATATCTAGAGTATATACTAGGGTATTATATAACTGCCAGAGTAAGCTCTAAACTAACTTATAACTAGTTCGTAGAGAGTTCGTAAGGCCTCTATAAGGCCTTTCTATATATAATATTACTATATAATATCTTAGTACTAGTTTATTAGGGGTTCGTAAGGTGTTTATAGAGTCTCTATAAGGCCTTAAGTTATATAATTCTATTACGTAACGCGACTAGATCGCCTACGACCTACTTACGTATTATATAGCCTATCTATATATTCTTTACTTTTCTATCTATCTATCTACCTACTACCTTAGCTATTAGCTACTGCTCTAGGAATATTATCTAGTTAGTATATACTAGACTCTACTCCTAATACTACTTCTACGACTTATTTAGGCGTTTTTAGTTAGCTAGAATATTTCTTTTAAGTCTATCTATACTATTTACTACTATATATCTCTTAATACTAGTATATATATAGACTAAACTATGTAATTTGCTTTAGAATTACCTACTATAAAGATAACTCCTAGCTATTCGAACTACTTCCTAGTCTTTAGAAGCCTAGCCTTGAAAAGCCTAGCCTTTCTAAATCTAGAGACATCTCTCTAGATATTAAGAAACTCTCTATTTATGGATCTATATAGATTAAGCTAAGAGGATATAGAGTTGATAGTATATATAGATAGAGTTAGATATCTCTGTATTTATTAGGAAGTAAATAGTCTAAGATCTACTCTAGCTATAGTATTTCTAAGAATGTCTAGAACTTAAGAAGCTTTTCTTATTAAATTTCTAGCTAGATACCTACTTAATTTATTCTTACGTATATACTCTTAGATTCGTAATATATAGTTAGATTAGTAGAATCAAGACCTACTTACTTATCTCTTCTTTAATAGAGATAATTTTGTCTAAAGTTAGAGTAGAAAGATATATTAACTTAAGAAGAAGCTATACTAAGCTAGAAGAGGCTTCTCTCTATCTATTATTCTAGAGTAAGCTAGATATAGAGATAGTTAACGTATTTTTACTACTCTGTTTTAGTCTAAATTATAGACAATTAGGACAAAGGGGATGTCGACATAGTACGCCTACACTAAGCATTGCTTCACGTACGGCGATACGAGTCGCGGGCTGTAGACTAGCTCTAAACATTTCATTTCCTTGAAATCAAGGCATGCTCTCTCTACGTACGTATTGGGGTATCATCCATGCTATCATAAATCATATTTCATCTGGTTCTGTGTCCGCCATTACCGTTCCCTTTCAAGTCCAAGCACATCGTGTGTATGTGACATATATCTCTTCCGTCGTGCTGTCTTGCCGCGTCCTTCCGAGCAGATGCTGTGCATTTCTCGGCCCATTCCCTCCTCCGTCTCCGCTGGTGATGCCACACGAGCTCAAGATGCCGGCTCCTCGACAAGAAGTGCCAGGTCGATCTCGTCAAAAGTCCTCGACTTCCGACCCGGGTTCCGCGCCTTCCACGAGTCCCATTCGGCCAGGAGCGCGTGCCCGACGTTGCGCCTACCGCAGGTCCAGCTCGGCTCATAGCGCTCGCCTGTGTGACGATCTGGCGTCCAGGCCATCCGGAAGTTGTTTCTCTGCTGCGCGAGCACCCCGAAAGCGTCCCATTGATCGTCGGCTGTGGCGGAGGTCGTGGTCGGAGGGAGAGTCGTAGTCGAAGCGGGAGTCGTGGAGGGCCCTGCCTGCTTCTCTGCAGTGGTGTCAGCAACAGCTTGCCTCCGGGAGTGTGGTGACTCTTACGCTTCTTCGCCTTGGGCTTGTCCGCGGGCGAGGCGGGTCTCTTCTTGGAAGTCGTGGCCGGAGAAGAGACGACGGAGTCTTTGCGCGCCGTGTCGATCGCGGTGACCTTGTCTGAAGCGACTGCGGTGTTGGAGGCATCTGCGGTGGGAGACGAGTCGCTAGCGTTGGAGCCATCGACGCCAGAAGACGCGTCGCCGGACGCACTGAGGTCTGGGGACGCCATCTCGGCAGGCGCCTTGTCGGTGGGGGCTGTGGCTGAGGCTGAGGCCATGCTGATGCAAGGGACGCTGTTCGTCGATGGCGCGCGATGGGGATGGGGTGATGGGGTGATGGTGTGGACGAAGGTGATGTCTGTCGGTGTTTGTTGCTTGGGAACGCGTAGAAAAGCTTGCCAGGGACTTGGGAGCTGTACGCCAAGGCTCGCGGCTCGCGGCGCGCTCCGCAGCTCCGATCTCCGAACTCAGGGTCTGGCTGTCATCTCGATACAGCAAGCAGACGCGAGCGAAGTTCACGCCGCCTTGTAGTGTGTCGCTTTGCGGATGCATCTTCCGTACGCTTTGTAATGTCCGCAACCCACATGGTCCCTTTCATCGTGTGTATCTCTCATCTCCGTGGGAGAATCGGATCACGTCGCAACGGGGAAGTGGTTGCAGCCTGCAAGCTTGGCTTCGATGCGAAGATCAAATTCATGGTGCCTGAGGTTTCCTCCGCTGCTTCAGTGCCGCGGCAATTCACCAACGGCACGATGCAACAGTACGACGACAGGAAGAAAGAGGCATGTAGGTGAAAATATCGTGAAGCGGAACGCTGCCTCCAGAATGCGACGCCGTCCGCAGACCGAAAGGTGTCGGTAAGGAGCGGTCCGCCGGTCGAAGCGGCCCGCCTGACCGGTTGAAGCGGTTTCCGGCCGGCTGAACCCGTCGTCGCAAGTCGAAGTGCGGCTGTCCCAAGCTGCTACGCCCGCCATTCTCTCTCTATACACCTACTCGCATCACATCAAAGTAGGCAGCAAGACTACTTGCTCGCTGTCTGCAATTGTACACACAGCGTCGGGTAATATATTGCACTGACTGGCAACTCGCCGTCAGATCATTGATTGATATGCATGTCTATGCGAAGCCGAGCACGGATACGAGCCCGAGTCCGAGCCGCGGTGCCGCCGAGAAATTCGAATCTGTCCAGATATTGTATCGCTGTCACCTCCACCTCCAGTATGAGCAGCGCGTCACGCCATCCATCGCGAGGCAGCGCCCTCAACGCCCTCGAGCTACTAATGGCTTCCTACCTTGCCCGTGCGCCCACTCCATACACTACCGCTCGAATGCGCCCACTCCACGAAAGTGCATCGAGTTATATCCAGTTATGCTTCCAAATCAGGCGACATACCAGAGTCATCGGACTTGCGCTGGGAATGGGATGAGGTGGATAAGATGGGATTCTCGAGATGGGATAATAGGATGGGATACTGCAAGCGACGGCGCCCTGCATCCTCCGACCGAAGTGACGGGTACTGTAGCACGTATAACCGGATCGGCCGGGCAACACCGTTTGTCTGCCATGTAACTCCACTCTCAACTCCCTTTCTCGCCTTCAAACACCTCCTCCGACAACACGACGAAACTTCCACACCTCAGCGGCGCAGCCATGAAGAGGAGGAGCAGGGAAGATGAAGAGGCCCAGCCCGGTCAGACCAAACTGGTAAAGAAGCAGGACATGTACAACGCTGGACGCAATCAGAACATGCACAACGCTGTTTGGGAGCACCAGGACATGCACGGCGCTGCAGTGACCGAGCAGGGCGTGTGCAATGCGGCGTCGGATAGCCTGGACACATCCAACACGGGATGGAGCAAGCAGGACATACGCCGCGCTGAATCAATACACGCGGTGGCTGATGACGGAAAGCAAGACGGTGCTACTCCTGCGTCCGTTGGTGCGCAGCATCACACAGTCTCTCGCGAAGGGCAAAGCACCATCACGGCTTTCTCCAACAAGCTTGCTCGATCTCAATATACGACTGCACCCATCAATACGCCCGCCGGTCCGTCAGCCGGTACATCACATACGTCGCTTTCTACACCTGGAACGAGCCTCCCCGAGTTCCAAGGTTTTTTCAAGCGGTTTGCTCGCCCGCGATCTGTCAATGCATCTCGCCTCAACCCGCCCACGGCTCTCTCGGACGGGTTGCTTGGAATGGACAGCTCCTCCCCACTTGATACCACGGACCCGCCCGCGGCTCTCTCCAACGGGCTGCTTGGAATGGACACCTCCTCTCCACTTCATACCACGGATCCGAATGATGGTGGATCAATCTCACCGTCTCAGTATTCATCCAGGGCTGTCGGATTACTCGACCTTCCCTACGAGCTGCGCTTTCGTATCTACGAGTTCGCATACTACGAAGAGCGTCAAGTGAAAATCAAGCATCGCAGTGACTGGGAGTGGGAGAATGCGAGGCGGCGGGACCTCGCGCTCATCGGCCCACTAAGAAGCGCAGCTCACGTGGTATGTATCTGAATCTCCCCTTCCGCTTAAGGTCTAACTGACTGGTTGCAGCCTACCACACCCCCGTCCGCATTTTGGAGAGACATGACTGTCAGCCGATCGTACTTTCGAGAGGCTGTCGATGTCTGGATGACGGGCACGACTTTTTGCTTTCGTCACGACCAAGACTTCGACAAGTTTATCGGAACTGGCCATCCCATCGAGCAGCAGTTGCTGGACCGTGTCATCTCCATCGTCGCGAGAATCCCCTTCCACATTTGTCCACGCAAGGATCTTGGCCCACTCATGCCACGGTTGCGTCACTTAACCCTGGACTTCACCTGTTACGAATGGGAAAGACATCGTATAGGACCGGTGTACCAGAACTACGAGGATGATGATCTCCAGAGACACCCGACTTTGCGCCCCATTTTGAGCCTTCGAGGGCTCGAGGATGTCCGAATTTCTTGGCAGGTGCCTTTGCCATGGATCTTCGTTCCGCAGGTCGGAGTCAAGTGGGCGGACTTCAAAGAGCAGACTGAGCGTCTGATTCAGAGAATGATCAAGCAGCCGCATGATCCATATCTCCTGGAAGGGTGGCTGAAGCCTTTGATGCCCGAGCCAGAGCCAGCACTGACGCCTTCATCCCCCTCTCACATGGACCAGGAATTTTCCGGTGCAGCGGTGCAGCAATCTGACGCCTTCGCGGTCCAGAACGTTGAGGTGCCCGAGCCACAGCGAGCACTGACGTCCTCATCCCCTTCTCACATGGATCAGGAACTTGACGGTGCAGCGGTGCAGCAATCTGGCGCCTCCGCGTCCAAGGACGACAAGGTGCCAGCCACCAAAGCCGACCCGGGCCGGGTGTACCGGACGCGGAGGTATACCCGTGAGCAGGCAATACTTGCTCAGACTGGGCAGGTGAGCATTGCTGGCGCTGTCACTTCCTCGGCCCAGCTTTCGACGCGCGCGAACTAGGACTCCGCTTTGACGAGTCGAAACAAAATAGCGGCCAGAAAGACAGCTCGTACACATGCTTCTCCATGACTGGATTAGGAGCTAAAGAGCTTGTGGTGGCCGCCGCTCCCGGTAATACAGCGAAGAAGGTGGAATCATTGGGAATGTACGAATTGCAAGGACTCTCAACTCTCTGGGAATATCGATAAACTCTAGATATGTACGAAATAACAAGACACTCTCTACATGCAGCCTGACGTATCCTATTCCACTGATCGGCGTTTCCCCCTATCCCCCTGCCCGCCAGACGGAGCTTTGCCTCGGACTTACCGACCGGGAGCGAAGTTCCATCGATCTCGCACACAATCATAGAGGATGGAAGACCCAGTGTTATGTTAGGTCTAGTGGAATGACAACTCGCACTGCTCTAGCACGCAGGCAGGAGCGTCGAAGTGTTTGATACCGATTGCGAATAAAGTCAGCGCACGGTCCACCAGTGATCGCGATCACTGGTGGACCGTGCACATACCGGTATACAAGCCTATCCATCAGACCGACGACCGCTTAGATTCCAGATGGATTTGCTGGAACAGACAGGAGGTCGTTACTGGCAGCCATTTCCAAGTGTTAATCCCACCAATGTTATCGAAACAATATGAATCCGGCACCGATAGCTAACATTATATGCGATCCCTCGAAGTGCACCCTCGCTTACCGATGGAAGATTTCCGTATTGGATCAACAGTCGCGAGCGAATGCACGAATTTACTCTCTGCGGTGCCACAGGAACCGCTGCACCGATTCCCGAATCTGGTATGTTACGGTGGCGGAGAGACTGTGGGCCGTTTCGCTTGCAGTATCGCTGCAGGCATCGCACATTCGTTCTTGACCAGCGGTAAGAAGCAGACCACTTCCCTAACGAGTATCGGCGTCTATGGCACCGAGGTGGCGAGCGACAGAAAGTCTGAGAACATGGTGGCTACAAGGTCCCAAAAGACTCCAGTGAGTCCATTCGAAGTATACGCGGCAACATGATACGGCAAAACTCTATGACCTCCAAGCTGAGGGATGACCGTATGTGGAAGGGCGCAAAGTATACTGTTGCCACATACATCTCGACGATCCAGAATGCGGCACAGCACAACATATGCCGAACGCGAGGTGGGTGTCGCTGAAGCATCTTCTTGCCTCGCTCTCAAGACATTTAAGCGCCAATACGCTCGACCGAGACATTCCTTCCGCGAGTCACGTACTGAGCCATAGATTGCTTATCAGCGTAAGGAGGAGTGACCGCGGAGGTTGTTGCAGTCGACGATGCCACGGCTCGGATAGCGCCGACCGCACGTGTGATGGGCAACGCCGTGCCGACAGCTTCACTTAATCTCAACCACACATCTCGTGAATGCTAAGGTGTTCCGACGCCGCACTTCACACCCTCCAACGGCCCGCCATCGAATCAAAACAACTCGAGATACAGACTCAGTGATGTTAGTTTGCTGCTATACTTGAGCAGGCCACAAACCATGGACCGCAACACACATAAGCTGCACATCACCGCCTAGCCGTGAGAATGGCACGTGGCAGTTGAGGCATGGCCGGTCACACATGGAGCTGAAATCCTGCATCAGCCGTCGTGAGTCGTGCACACTTGGCATGGATGCTTGGTAGCTAAGAGTGTGTGTAACAGACCCGACGCAACCTCACATTCATGAGCTTTTGCTTGTCGAGGATGAGATACCGAGACCTTTCCTGAAGGACGGGTTCGGGAGACCTTGCGACGACAATATCCAGAGAGAGAGACCATGTCATCTGAGGGAGAAGTCGAAATGGCTACCAGGATCGACGTTTGACGGCAGCTTCACCGAGGCAAACAAAGGTCGAAGTCGAAGACGATCCTAAGCTCGAGTGGGCGCGAGACAACTGGAGCGACGGTACAAAATCAGGACCAATGAAGAAAGGGTAAAAGCAGACAGATGAAAGGAAAATAGGAGAAGGAGAGAATGAAAGCGCTCACCAGACATGATTGACACCAGGTACAATACCTCTTGGAGTCTACCATTACAGACACCACGAAAGACTATCGACGGATGTCACTATCACGACAAGATACCACAGGGTTGTGAGCGCCCACAGCAAGGCACGAAGGTAAGATGCCATCACATTAAGGAAGAGACGAGAAGTGGCAAATGAGATTCCGGTTTCAGTCAACGACCTCGAAGGGAGGTGGAATGTCCGGAATAGCGGATGGGTATCCACTCATTCGCGTGAGCTTACAGACTCCGGCCATGGTCAATGACTTCGAGGGGAAACAAATTGTCCAGAACCGCCGATTGTTATCCTCATTCGTCAGTGTCCAGGTGTCGATCCGGTCGGTGGGTTTCTGTTCCTGCCATAACATGTTAACCTGCGATGTGCAACATCCGCCAATGATCAACAAATGCCACATCGACCCATAAGAGCGGCCTGATCCAAGAACGCTCGACAGCAGCTTGCCCCAAAGACACTGATACAATATAGTCAAGTCGCTACAATTGCTGCCTTGCATCACCCCGCTTCGTCGATGTGCTTAACGCGGCAGGGGTCTGTGAAGATCAGGAGATGTGGCGAGGACAAATGGCCACAAGGCTGACTTCTGTAGGTGGACGCCGCTGGCTAATGAGGTCCGAGGAGAGTGGGCGTTTGAGGAGCTTTCGATCGCCAAACATATGCTCAAGGTGGTGCGGTAATCGACTTGCTAGTTGTAGGATAGTCTTGGAATGGCCAACCGATGCGGAGATAGTTGATGACGGCGAGGCTTACGTCTCTTGGTGAATACATTTCGCGGTGGAAGCTCGAGAAGAGGAAATCGACAATCAGCGCCCGATCATCAGTCAAGTATTGAAGGAGTACTGATGCTCGATTTCGCGGCCGTGAGTGGGTCTCGGGTAGTCAACAGCCGTGCAGGGAAAGCACCGCAATTGGCTGGGTCTTCGTGGTTATCGGTGAGTGGTGACTGTCACAAGAGCTCTGGTCATTGACCTCCTGTATGACGATGGAGCTCGGGAGCGCCAGCGACCATCTAGAGAAGCAAGATGAAGAGGCCATGCTGGATTGGTGTCTGGCGAACGGTAGGGGTGGCCAGCTAATAGGAAGCCCGCATCTGAAATAAGTCTGGGGACGTCCGCAGCTGTTAAGGAGAAGGGTGCCGACGAGGCTTTTATGGAAATTGGTGGACGTCAAGCGCATACGAGGCTCACAAAGCCGTGGATCGTTGAGAAAGTGTTGCATCCGGGCTTCCGTAAATGCGTAGGGGCGCGGTCACTCCTTAAGCGATCGCATGGCCATGTCGCTTGGTGGATGGTACGACAAGTCTGAAACGCATAAGTGTGGACGAACTTTGGACGAGTCGGCGAGAAAGACGACTGTCAAGCTTGACTCGATCGGATTGCAGAGGAGGAATATTTGATTCTGCGGATAATGCCGGTGTCGCTGAGCTTCAGCGCCAGAGAGGTGATTGATCTTAGCGAGATCGAATGCAAGGGAGGTCGGAAGTTCGTGCTGGCCCTCGTCCGCATTGTTGTATCTGGTTGTGGATATGGAAGCGGTGCGTGGAATGAATTTAGTCCGTTGGCATGGACGGATGAACACTATCTGCAGCTAGTCGGACTTCTGCAGAGACATCAGGTGGGTGGGGAAGGGATTCTGTTGTAGCCTGACGCCACGTGATGCCGTGAGTAGTTGACAGCGGCAAGAGGCGTGGTCCTGTGGAAGATTATGGTGTTTTGCAGACTAAGTAAGAGATAGCTGGCGATGCTGCGTGATGCCGAGAGTACTGAAAGCAGTTGGGAGGTGTTTTCCTGCAAGCGACGATGTACTTGCCCAGCTTCTGCGTGATTTGATTAGTGGTCGTCTTGGGCGAGGACAGGAACTCGCGAAGACGGAAGGATCAATCCTGCGCGCGACGATGTCCCTGTTCAAGTGAAGTGCGAAACGATTAGTGGTGGTGCATACCATCGGTGAAGATCCCATAGAATGTGTTGTTGTCGAAGCTGCTTACGTGCGAGGATCTACGATACCTCTTGTCCCCGAAGCTAACAGCAAGGCTTGGTCCCAGAAAGAGTCGGAGGTATTGTGGCGTAGTTACTCCGCATAGATACTCGGACCAGACAGTTAGGCCCCTCTGCTAATGCTAATGCACAGTTTCTGTTGAGGCAATTGTCGTCGTGAGGTGTTGGTGAGGTCTTGTCGAAACTAGCGTCAATGTCGGCAACGATATTGATGCTGAGCTAAGGTTGAAGTTGAGCTTGAAATTAAGGTTGAGGTTAAGGTTGAAGTCGAGGTTGAAGTTAAGGTTGAATTTGAGGTTGAAGTTAAGGTTGAAGTTAAGGTTGAATTCGGCGAGGAACTTAATATTGGCGTTGATATTGTTCTTGCATGCTGGTCGCTCCCCCTTAAACTCGAGACCGGGAGCAGGTGCCATATGGCAGGCACTGCAATGCTGCTGAATTAGAGGGGTGGGGGGGATGAGGTGGGCGGGGTTGTAGGCGACGCAGATGTTGCGTGGTGTGCCGCCCCTGGCGAGTTCCTCGGGCCTGGTAGTGCTGTTATAGATAACGATGAGAGGAAGTGTCCATAGCTCCTAATGACCTGCAATGGTAACAGCTGTGTTGCAAGAGATCTGCGATGTTGTGGGCGGCATAGTACGTGGTCCTGAGGCTGGAAGGGCAGCGGTAATGTTGTCTTGTTTTATTGGAATGAGAGGAGCGGAAAACGAGTTGGACGATGATACAGCGGCATTAACCTGGTTCGGGCGCGAGAGAGGGCATCCGTAATGCGTGCCGCAGTGCGCAGTTGCCGTGGTCACGATGCGCTGAGACGCCCAAGGGAAGCGTTGTTAATGCAAGTGGCCGAGTGCTTCCGCCGTTAATGACGGGAGTTGGTCAAAAATGCGGCCTGCAGGCTGTGAGCGTGCGTTGAGTTGGGTGGGTTTGTCGTCGGAGATGAAGGAAAGAGCCAATAGTAGTGTTGATAGGCCGTCAACC